ACGCTATATTTTGCGCTACTTACGTTATTTGGCGCTATTTATCACGCTATTTAGGCAATCCTTATTTATAGGCAAAAAATAAAATATAAAATAATAAAATACAAAAAAAAACGTAGGACACAAATTGAGTAATTTCTCCCATGGTGAATTTGAGTGATTATTAGATCATGTTTTGTATTTATCTTGAAAAAATAATAATTAAAAAATTGATATCAACATAGTTATGACTGGCCTTTTAGACTATTAGAATAATGTGATTGTGTTTCTTAAGCTCAAAAGTGAAATAGGAGAACACTTCATTTTTTCTCCAAACGATGATGAGATGCAAGAATTTGGTGAAATTGTACCAATTATTTTTTTTACTAAAATTCTCAATAACTTTGATAGCATTTACGATGATATCTAAATTCAATTGGATAACACCGATCATTTTAAGATTTTGAGTCTTTACTTTAAACATTAAGACTTTGGTTGTTTGAAGAATTAATATTTGAATGTCATTTTTAGATTCAGTGTCCAAGCTAATTTATGGTTTAAAACCATTTTAATTATTTATTCGCTTCTTTTATTTTTTTATGTTGTTATTATTTTGCCATTAAAAGTGAATTCCTCGAATAGCTTACGCAATGCGCTACGCTATTGGCTACGCAATATAAAGAATAAAATGCGACGCATTGCGCGATGCGCATTTTTAAAACACTGGTTCCACTACATTTTCATTAATTGTTTGGAAATCACAACAGAACAAAAATTGCAAATTTCAAATATATAAAATAAAAAAAAGACTAATAATATTGGTAAAATAAATATTCCTCCTATGTGGAAGTATTTTAACTTGATAAAGCAAAAGTAAAGATGCATTTATTAATACATGAATTCCAAGCAATCAGCTGAAGCCAAAAAAACTAGCCAAAGCTAAAAAAAATAAGAAAATTAATCCATGTGAATTCAAATTTTAATAAAAACACATATAAAAATATATTAGAGAGAAAATATAAGAAAAATGAAAAAAGAAAAAAAAAAGAGTTTAATTTGATCTATATATATATATATGTAATTATATTAATTAAGAAAATATTATTAATAAGCTCTTTCCTTGATGATGTCCAAGCTCATCTCACTAGGATCAGTGGCTTGTAACTCCACCTGAATCCCATCTAATTCCCTTTTGAATCTGTCTTTTGAACTTGCATACAACATCTTGGTTCTCACCCTAGCAATTTCTGGTGACCTGTATTATAAATAAATAATCCCTTAATTATAAATTTCAAAAAAAAAATAAATAAATAAATAAATGTCTTTTGGCCCCTAAAGTTGCCTCTTAATTATAATATGAAACAGACATTTTAAGGGACCAAAGTTTCCATTCCAAGAGTTAAAAGGACTAGTCTGAAATCACAATTTTAATCAATAGTTCAAGTTAAGAGTTTTTATTTCAACCGAGCTGTTCATGAACAAAACTTGTTTCGTGTCGTTGAGCTTTCACGAGCTGAGCTAGTAACATAATCTAGCTCGTTTATTAAACAATTCGAGCATGTTCGCGAACAACTCGTTTTTCTTTTTTTTTTTTTACTTCATTAAAAGTTCAAAATGAAATCTACCGAGCGAAATTTGTTCACGAAACATTTCATTTTCGCAAATAGCTCATTCAAATTTTAAGGTTCATTAAAGGAACCGAACAGAACTGGGCTTGTCAAACGAACAGGAGTTCGAACAGGTGCTATTCGGCTCAACTCAAATCACACACCCCAGTCCAAGTCACTCAAATTCGATCATCATATACATCAAAATATTTCACAAATCAAAACAACCAAAAGATGAAATTTATATGTAAAAATAAACATGAACTCATGAAGTGTGTGCATGGTTGCTATATATATCATGACTAGGGTGAGCAAAATTAAGTTGAAACCGAAAAATCGAACCAATCCGTGTAATTCGATTCATTTTTTTTTATTATTTTTTATTTTTATTTATTTTTTTTTCGGTTTAGTGCAGTTTTGCACTGAGTCGCAGCAAATTGAATAAAATGTATAGAAAAACCGAGATAATACCAAAAACGTGCATTTTGGTACGGTGCAGTTCGGTTATTTAGTGTCAAAATATTTCGGTCTGGTTTCTGTTCGGTTTCCCTTCTTTTTTAGTTGCAGTGGTTCGATAATTATTAATACTATTCTTTTGCTAGCTTGTTTTTTTTGCAGTTCGGTACAGTTTTTCACTCAACCGCACCTGTTCACCCCTCTATATGACCTAGCCATCCATGTATATATGTATAGTACCAAATAACCTTACCATGCAATGAAATAGATCTTGCTCTTATGGCAGTTCTCGTCGGTCGTGAAATCGTAGTCAAACACCGCATAGCGACAATCGTCTCCCGGCAAGCTGCCGGCAAAATCCTGATAGGTCTCGCCACTGCCGCCGGCCTTCTCCACCATCACTTGGTTCCCTTTGTCGTCGATCTTGAACACGATGTACCGGAAGTTCCTTTTCGCCTTCAGCTCCAAGAATTTCAGCTTGCACTCGTCGTCCACCGCGATTCCGGATGCCGAATTCGCCTAATTATTTTAGAAAATATATAATATTATATAATATAAAATAAAATGACATACATAAAGTTGCAAGATATTGAAAATACATAATGTGAATGCAATTGGGACATACTACATACCATTTTATTGTCTGGTTTGAGATTGAAGCTTCAGAATTAAAATGCGGAAAAATAAAGTATTGATTTTTTTAATTTATTTTCTATCAAAGACAAAAAAGATGGATCAGAAGGAAGAATGAGAAAGGAGAAAATAAAAATGGGATCCTTGAGTTTTGGTAGAGCATTGGAGAGGACATAAGGAAATTTTCAAGGGACTAGAGACATTTTAGGATGGTTTTGACTATATAAAGAACT